CGCTTTGGTGTCCTCTTTCGTTCTTATGTGTTTAAACAGTGAAACGGCCATAAACTTGAGCGTAGGAAGTTCCGCACCAACATGCGAAGGAACTTCTTCACAGTGAGGGTGACGGAGCACTGGAACAGGCTGCCCAGGGAGGTTGTGGAGTCTCCTTCTCTGGAGATATTCAGGACCCACCTGGACGCCTGCCTGTGCAGCCTGCTGTAGAGAGTCTCTTTTGTTGGGGGGTTGGACTCGATGATCTCTAGAGGTCCCTTCCAGCCCCTGTGATTTTGTGATATTTTTTAAAGTGTTAGGGGTGGCTGGTAAAACAGGTCGTTGTGCTGAAGCCTGAGGTGGTACAGAATTATTCCAGGAGCTGAAGAATTCTGCGGTGTGTGCTGAACATCACTGATGGGACTTCCAAGTGCTGCTCCACACCCCAGCCCGACTAACACCAGATCCCTGCTGCCCGGAAACCCTCCTCAGTGTTACATGTGAGGAAGCTGATGTTTTGTTTGGTGAAGAGCACCTCCTGAGCGTGTTTTGCTCCTTGTTCGACAAACTGGGGGGCTGCTCCCCAGCTTTGTACAGCAGCATGTTGTTCATGGGTTAGTCAGCGGTGCTTTGAGGTGGCTTAATGCCTGCTGTGCTTTGATGTGTGGATGCATAAGGGGAGAAAAACGAGCTGGTGCGTTATTACAGACCTGTTCTGAATGCTTCGGTCCTGCAGCAAAGCGGTTGTTAAATCTGTGTCATTGTAAAATGAGCGCGTGTAGCTAAGTTGTAGCTTGAAATGTGAAGAAACCTATAGCATCTGATGGAAAAGGGTGATGTTGTCTTTTGGAAACTAAGACGCTATTCTCCAAGCCCATCCTTCTGTGACAGAACAATAGAGTTACTATTGTTTGTTTTAGTTGGTGTTTTGTGAGTTTTTATACCTATTTTTTCCCCAGGTCTTCTAAAAATCCCACTCTGATAGTGCTGTGGCTTTTCCTCTGAGCATCCTGTTAGTGCTGATATTTTTAAGTTGGTAACTTAACTTTTTTTTTACTTCCAAAAAGTGAGAAACATAATCCTGAAGTGATATGTTGTTGTAGTGAAGAAATGCTGATGACTTTTGTAGATGGACCAATTTGATTTCACATATGGTAAGCTAGAGAAGTAGAATTGGCAGTGAAATGTCCCTTTACAAATTCTCTGTGACTGGGTTGCTTTGAACTCATGCATCTTTGGGATGACCTACATTTAGCATTCCTTTCAGGCTGGGCTGCTCTCCTTTAGCTAGGGTTAGTTTCCTGATGTGAATCCTGAGAAGTAAGAGGAGGTGCCCTAGGCCCCAGTCCAGACTTCCAGTCTGGTGCCTTGCAAGCACACTGATTTCCTAGATAACCAAGGCAGTGACTGAAGCAGAAAGCTTCCTTATTTCACAAAAGACGGGAAATAAATGGTGGTATGCTGCTAGACAGAGGATTACGTAATGTTTGATGTATGAAGTATGCCAACATAAAGCAGCATAGGGGAATCAGCTTGTGCCAAAATACATGTAGAAACTTGACAGTAATGGCATTCTTTCAAGGTCTTCTGACTGAAGTTGATAGCTGTTGAGATGCCCACAGATCCTTCAGCTGCTAAGTGAAAGATCTTCTCACTGTTGTGACTGAAAGCTTGCACCTCTGCTATTTACATGTTATGTAGAAGGAAAATAATCCGCAATCAAAAATGATCAGCGGTCAGAGTTTGCACAGTTCAAATAATACACTCTTCCCACATAACTGCTTTCTGAAGTGATTTTTTTTTTTTTGAGAGTTATAAGTGAAGAGTGTTTTGAAACATGATTTGAAACAGTGTGACTAATGCAATTTCAGAGGAAGCAATATGAAGCTAATATACCTTGAAATTAAATTTGAAAAGACGGTATAAGAATACAACAACAATTAAAAATTGCTATATCTGCTTATATTAGGGAGATGCAGCTGGGAATGCATATGATTATCTTATCTGGATACTGGCAGCCTCTACCTTCTTTTTATAATAAACCTGTGAAAGTGTAGGCCAAACAGAACAACATATGGCACCTTAACCTCTTGTATGGAAATGTACAGGCTGCTCAGAGGTCTTCTCTCACAGTGGAAGAATTGCAAATGTTCAAAACTTTGCATGCCCAAAGCTTATTGCAAGAGCCTGGCTGACTTCTGTTCCCAGCTGCTGTTTAGGTTATTATTGGGATGTCACTGAGTGTTTCTACATAAACAGAGAGATGTGGATTCAATTAAGAAATATTCAGCATTGTAATGTTAATTTACAAATACTACATTGCCAGATTTTATTACAGAATTTAACAAGCACACCAACGTGTCTTCTGTCTCATCTCAAAACACTGAAGTTCTTTGAAAGTGTTCAAAAATAGCTTGGCAGATTTCAGCACATTATTCATAACTGCACACGATGTGCTGTTGATCTAAAATTCTTTTGATGTATTTATTTTGGGCATTAAGTTGCACAGAATATTGTGTCTCCTTAATCTGCTGTTTACATCACACTGGGAATACTCAGCGCACTCAAATATTTACTGATTTTTGCACACTGGTGTCACATGAGAAATAGATTTTGCTGTTCATGGTTTTATGTGCTAGGTTTGGATGTTTGTTCTTATTATTAGGTTATAACTTATTTTTATTACTGCTTTGGACATGGGCATTTTCTTCAGAAATGTTCCCCCTGTAGCTACAGTGACATAAAATTACTCATTTACACCGGTGTTAAATCCAAGGTAGTTAAGGTAATTCCTTTTCCATGATGGTAGAATTCTTATGTGAGGGTAATGTTGGCATCGTTAATTAATTTTGTCAACAAACGTTTATATACATTTTATTTTAAAATAAAAATTGCTTTTTGAATGTGATGCTGTATGTGGCCTCCACACACCTGTATTTTTCACAGAAGAGCAGGATTAGAACTGTTGCTAGGGTGTTTTTCAGACTCCTAACAAAGCAAAACAAGTATTTCAAATGAATGAGAGTGATCTTTCCAAAAGTAGTGCACAAATATTCATTGCTGTGGTTGCGAGAAGGCTTTAAAGTGGTCAGGAGAGGAGGAGTCCTTGGCTTTCCTTTTTCCTCCTGCCATATCATGCCAAAAGTAGTTCTTATTCCTGAAGAAATTAATCTGTGCATCCAGATCTCCATAGTGATGTTATTATAGTTATTAACATTTAAAAATTATAATAAAGAGTCCTCTTTATTTTTCAAAGGCCTCTGTAGTCCAGCTGCTGTCCCATCCGTATCTCAGTCTGTTCATTGCCAGTCCTTCTGCTGTTTCTGTGACAGATCTACTAAACTCATGTGCTCAGCATTGTTTCCTAGCCAGCGAAGCGTTATGCTTCCTTCATGCTTTTCATCTCAGGACCTGAGGTTCCTGCTCACCCAAAGAGGCAGCCCTGCACTGACTCACTGCTCAGCCAGCCACCTCTCCTGCTCCTCCACCTCAAGCTGAGCTCCTCTGCTCGTGCTGGTCTATGTAAGATTTCTGAGGCCCAGTATCATCCATCCTGCAGCTCTTTTTCCATCATGAAGGCATCCCAGGAAAGAGGCCTTGCCTACCATAGTGCAAGAGCTGAGGTGGGTCTGCAGGCTCGTGGCCAGCTGTTCTTGGGACACTACACCACCATTTGAAGCAAATGACAAAGCCTCCTTCAGGCCTGATTTACAAGGAAAATCATAGGTGGAGCTACTCAGCTGAGTTTGTAATGGGATGTGTTGTTGTGGATCAGGATGGGAGCGCTGTGATCCCTTTTGGACTAATTGTAGCCTGTGGGCAAGCAAATGTGCTGTGGGGAAAGATCCCTTTGGCTTCACAAATGCTCTTTGGCGTTGATTCCCTTTGTTTTAATATACTGTGAAATGGAATGTTGGCCTGTGTTGGGAGCTCACTAGATTTACAGAGCTCCATAGCTTTTTCTTCCAAGTAGTCCATTTCCTGTTAATTCTTTCTAAAATATGCATGTAAAGTACTTAACTTCCAACAAATAGGCAATAGTAATAGTGAAAACTTTGGATTTAACTTCATCAGACCAACTTTAAATAAGGCAACTTCTGGTTTTTTTAGTATGTATATGTGATATGTAGATATATACATGTATGTATGTATTAATGTTTCGGTTTCTTGTCACAATTCAACCTCTTTCTTCATTGTCTTTGGACTAACAATATAAATGTTAGGTTTCATTCCCATAAGCTTTTCCTATAATACTAATTATATTTGTCTTACACTCCTTCTGACAAATGTAACTCATTTCAGTTTTTCTGTGAAGTTTTGTTTTGCCTTCCATAAGATGGCACTAAAAACTTATTTGTGGTGGAGAGGAGAAAAGGGTAGAAGTGAATATCTTTGGCTTTTCCATGTCATAATAAAAGTAGCAGTCAGCCTTCTGTTGGCTTTATACTCAAAATCGGCTCTGTACTCAGACTGAGAAATCTTTGCTGCACATAAAAAAAAAAAAAAGGAAGGAAGGAAGGAAGTTCCGGCCAACAGTACTAGGTATTTATGTGAGAAATAGCCCTCGTCTTCATTTGTTCAAGATATTAATACATACTTATTTTTATTTATTGGCTTTTTGACTACTGTAGATTAGCACAAATAAA